TATTATATATTTTAATAATTATATATCTTACAATATTTTTAAAATTTTAATTAATAATTAATAAAATCTATAATGTTTCATCTATAATACTTTTAAAAAATAACTAACCAAACACTAAATTAACTTTCACCCACAGTTATAGCACATTACAGCCATAGCACTTTACAACAATCTCAAACGCACCCTTAGTCACATGCGTTATCTATTGAATGAAAGGTCAATTATAGATGTGTATGTGGAGCATGTCTGTGATGAACTAGACATTTTATATATGCTTGAAGGTGGCAGTATTCCATGTGATGCAATTGATGAAACTAATGATATAAGACCAAGTGTTATGAGTAAGGAGGTAGTAGGTGAAGGTGCAGGGGTGGAGGGTCCATAGGGAGGCAATGAGATTGATGTAGATGGGGACATTGGCAATGGTTGTGTCACACAAATTTCACAATTGACCCCAAAGGCACAGAATGTAGCTCATGAAACAGATGATGAATTCTTTAATGCTATACATAATGAGGGAGATATTAATGAAGAGGAGGAGGTTCATGATGAAGAGGAGGAGGTTCATGATGATGAGGATGAGATTCATGATGATTTTATGGATGTTCATGATGAGGTTGAGGTTCATGATGATGATGATGAGGCTGAGGTTCATGATGATGATGAGGAGGATGATGATGATGGGGAGAAGGTTGATGATGACGATGAATTCCTTAATGCTTTACCTAGTGATGCAAATGATGAAGAGGTGGTTGAAGCCATTAGAAAAGTAAGGGAGATTGTTGGAAATCAAAAGAAGAGTAGAGCCATTACAATAAGGACTATAGATGGTGATGGTGATGGTGCTGGACCAAGCAACACAGTCCATGAGCATCAAAATAGAGATAATGAAGAGGATGAAAGGGTTCTTGTTGAAAATGATAGTGACAAAGATGATAGTTCGGATTCTACATCTCCAAACAATCATGGATGTGAGATTTGTAGTGATGAAGAAGATGAAGATAAAGAGGAGTATGAATTCACTATCTGTGTAGATGCAAGAACCAGAAGAAGTGCTGATGTATGGTTTAACCCTTCATGGCCTGATGTTTGGTTTAAGGTAGGGATGAAGTTTGAGCATGCATCATAGTTTAAGGAGGCTCTAGTTAAGTACCAAATACAGAAGGGTTGCAAGTTGAAAACAATGAAAAGTGACCCTAGGAGGCATAGAATTAAGTGTGGTGATCCACAATGCAATTGGAAAATCTTAAGCAGTTATGATAAAAATGATAAGTGCTTTCAAGGTGAAGACATATTACATAGAACACACATGCTTTAAGAGTTTGAAATTTGACATGGTTGGGTCAAAGGTTCTTGCAGAACACCATGGGAATAGAATTGCTGCAAATCCACACATCCAAATCAATGAGTTGGTTAGACTTACACATTTAGAATTGGGGGTTATTGTATCAAGGGATAAGTGTAGATTGGCAAAGGCTAAGATTTTGAAGGAGATAAAGGAAACTTCCATAAAAGAGTTTGCACAGTTGAGAGGGTATGCTGAAGAACTACTGAGGTTGTCACCTAAGTCGAATGTGTAAATTGATACTGAGCCAACCACAACTCCAAAAGGGAAGCCACAGTTTAACGAAATTTATGTCTACTTAGAAGGATGTAGAAAGGGTTTTCTATTGAGTTGTAGACTAGTGATTGGAGTAAACGTTTGTTTTCTTAAGGGGATGTGTAAAGGAACCCTTTTGGTAGCTGTTGCAAGGGATGAGAACAATCAAATGTTTCCAATTGCATAGGGTGTTGTTGATTCTGAGTGTACCAGTTCATGGACATTGTTCTTCAAATGCCTAGCAAATGATCTATTGAATCACACTAGGATAGACTTAACATTTATTTCAGACCAACATCCGATAAGTGTAACATTTTCTATTCATTAACTTTGCAATGGTTTATAGTGATGTTACTTTAATCATAAATGTCATGCCATTTATGTAATATTCTTCTTTAATTGATTATGACTCACTAATTGTCTTTTTTTTTTTTGTTTAAATTAATCACGATTTGATAAGGGTAGATTAATGCAAGACAAACAGTTTCCCCAGAGGCTAGGCATAGGTTGTGTGCTAGGCATATATATGCTAATTGGCAAAAGTTTCAGAGGGAAACTATTGAGGAAAAGGTTTTGGGTTGATACAAGGTCAACTTTTGAGGGTGAATTCAACAAAAATATGGAAGAGATAAGACAATTAACCGAGGCAGGTCATGAGGCCTTTAAATCAATCCCACCTGAGCTATGGTGTAAGGCCTTCTTTGACACATTATGTAAGTGTGATATGGTGGACAATAATATGAGTGAGACCTTCAACAATTGGATAATGGATGCTAGATTCTTGCCAATCATCCAATTGTTAGAATGTATAAGGTTTAAGGTTATGGTTAGGATGGCCAAAAATAGGGATGAAATCAACAAGTGGAGAGGAAACATAGCACCAAGAATTAGGAAGGAATTAGAAGCAAACTAGATGCAAGCAGCCAAATGCAGATGTGAATGGAATGGGAGGACTCATTATGATGTTTGGCATTGGAATGATAAATTTGTTGTAGACTTGCTTGGAAACAAGTGTAGCTACAGAGCATGGGATTTAACAAGTATTCCATGTTCTCATGCCTTGTCTACAATAAGTTTAGAAAACTTCAATCTAGATGAATTTGTTTTGATTTGGTGCAAAAGGGTGAAGTATGAGCCTGTATACAGCGTACCAATCATGCCTTGTAATGGTGAGCATTTTTGGGAAAATTTTCATGGTAAATCAATGGAACCACTTCCATTTAAATCCAAGCAAGGAAGGCCAAAGGTGAATAGAATGAAGAGCACTGATGAAACAAAAAAGGTGAAGGTGGGACACCTACAAAAGATGACAAAGGTAGGAGTGAAAGTAATATGCTCATTATGTAAGCAACTTGGCCGCAACAAGAGAGGCTGTCCAAAAAGGCCAATTGAAAGTGATGTAAGTTAACTACTTATTAACAATTTATTATTAATAATAATTAGAAAATAATGGCAATTTTTTCTTAATCCTCAACAGGCAGCAACCCAGCAAACTTCAAAGCCCATAACAAGAAAACATCCAACATGTGGATATTGTAAACAGCTTGGTCACACAAGGACTATATGCATTGCTAGATTTGTAGTTGATGATAATGTAAGTATAGTTTGTAATTGTCATCTTTCTATGAGTTTGATAGTGTAAATTTGCTAATTATTTATGTTTATTGATGATTAAGCAATCTGGCCAATTTGATGGAATGGGAAGGAAGAGTAGACATAGGTTTGGTGAATATATGAATTGACCAAAGTTGAACATTGTGAGCTTTTGCTTTAACATTGAGTTGTAATGGTAATTGTTTTACTCATATGTATTTTACACTAATAAAATTTAATTTTTGTAGCAAGGTGTGCAAGGAGAGATTGCCATGACACACACACACCCCAATCAATTTCACAAGACACATTTTCCTCATAAATCAAAGAAGCAAATATCAAGTCAAGACTAATCATTTAGGAAGATTTTTGTTGTTGCATGGGAGTAAAGTACTTGGGTGACAACTTGGGACAACCTGTAGTAGGTGTTTTTTTTTTTTTTTGTATGTATTATGTTAAAGTTATTAGAAACTAAGTGACAACCTGCAGGTATTCATTCTGTTTTGTTGGGATCTATATTTGGTAGGTGTTCTCTTAAGGAGATTTGGGGACATTGGATTGTTGGAATCTCATGCAGTTTTGGTGTAACTGGTCAAGTTCTTTCTTTTGACTAATTTTGTGCAAATGCAGCTTTGGCGTAAATGTAGCTTTGTTGTTTGCCTTTGGTGTAAATGTAGCTTTGCTGTTTGGCCCTACAATAACAATTTATGATAAAAAAAAATTTCCTTATTTCTGTGCCTCTTATATAGTTTACTTGTTTCGTATATATTGTACCTATTTTAGGTTGATGATTCTTCAGAACATGAGATAATATAAACAACAATTACAGGAATTTTGTAATTGTCATTTACTATTCATTCTAGATATTACAAAATACAATGCATGGGAGAATTCAATTAGGCCCAAGGGCAATGATTAACAATGTTGAAAGGCATGCTAACACATTACCTAACAAAAAACAATTATTGCCCACATATATTGCCCACAGAACACAAGTCTCCCTAGTTTCATAGCTTCTCAAGCTCTAATACTTTTCAAATCCCTCTTCCTATTAGCACCCTTAACCCAAGTACTAAACAGGAAAAAGGCCAAGACAAAAGCAAGGAAAACAGTCAAAACCAAACCAAAATTTCCCACACTTCTTCCATTTCTCCTACTTCACAGCATACACCATTGCTAATGTCACCATTATCTGCAAGTCATCCACCTTCTTCTCTTTTACTCGTCCTCGAGTAAAATGAAAAAAATAAACAAAAAGAAAATAAAACCTAACTCACTTTCGTAGGAATAACGATTGCACTTAGCGTGTGCAACAAGCCTTTAAACCCCTAGGTCACCCTAGTGGACGAGTTGTGTCTCGTGAGGGTTTGCAGCGGATCTACCCACAAAATCCCAATGCAAAAATGCAACTATATGATATGTATGCAAAGAAAATTTAGGA